TAATTTCATTAACTGATATAATGTTAATATACCAACCTATTGAAGTACTGAAATCTGTTTTGTACCTTTGTAATACACAGATAACCACCAAATGCAGGTGGTGATGAGAAAGTCACATGATGAACCAAAGCCCATCACAAGCAGCTTTTAAATAATAACATATATAGAAGGTGCACAGTGTCATTCACACAAACACCAAACACCATCATGGTAACACACATGAAACTGAAATAATGCAATAAACATTCCTTTAACAACATTAGGTGTAACACACAACCCTAATATACAAAACTGATAAGAAAAAACTAAGAAGAAACATAGTTATTTCAACAAAAAAAACATCAAATTTGAAATGTAACGCAGGGAATTCTGGGAATGTCAATTTACGGTTATTCACTGTAAATTATACAGTCTTTTTCACTTCCAAAAACGGTATACTACCGTAAAATTAATGTCCAATACATGTAATGTCCAATACAGTTTTCCACCGTATATAGTAGGGGAATTTACCGTTAACCATTTAACAGGTTTTTACTGTAGCATTTTTACAGTCTTTTACCGTTAAATTCACGGTCATTTTTTACAGTGTAGCTAACCATTGACCGGACTTTACTGCACTGAAAAATCTAAAATAACATGTTTCATATCAACCTAAATTTTTCAATGCAACAAGTCTAATAGCCTACATATTTTTTTTTAAATCACAAAATAAACAAAATGCTCAAGTTGACTCTTGGCCCTCTTCCTCTATAGTTTAGCTGTGAATCTGCATTGTTTACACTTGGTTTTCACACTTGTGTCTGACTGCATTAGATACATGCTGTGACAGCCACACTGGTATGATAGTCTTGTACTGATCATGTTGCAGCTAGCTGGCAGGTGGACAGTGGATAAACTCGAACATGAGGCTTTTTGTGGTCCATGTACCTCCTCTGCTCTGCCTCTGGATGTGGACAAATCTGAGACGCAGAAACTGGGTTGAGCACGCAGCCAATCACACGATGCCTGAGCTAAGCACATCTGGAATCCAACAACATACAATGCTAGCAAACCCTTCGCAGTCTGGAGACCTCAGTGGAAAAAGGAGAGTTCTGCAAAATGGCCGACAATAAAAGCTGAGCAACATCTGAAAAGCAACATCACAATAGAGAACTCAAATATTAATGTCATTAAAGTGAATGGTGCACGAACAAACAAAGTTAACTAAGCCTTTATCCTGTTTCAGAAACATTTCACATCTTGCAAGATTCTTTTATGAGTATGAATTATTGTTATATATCATTTTACTGCAAAATAGGCATATGACAACGTGTATGTCATTCTATGACAATGGCCATAGAATTCAAATAAAGCATCCTTTGCATCTTCTTGTTCAGGCTATTCTTGTTCAATATGGAAAATAAAATTTTTTTGCTGAACCATAAAATATTATTTCTTATAATGATTAGACTTCTACATTTTTAAAATGTATTTTACTTCTGTTCAAGTTTTTTTTTTGTGCAGATTTAAATTACATATTTACATTTTAAAATAATACAATTATTATTACAAATTATTTTATAAATAAAAGATAAATGGTAAATTATTATTGTATTTATATAAACAATAATTATTATTATGATGATTATTATTGCTTTATTGTTCTTATGCTTACTTTATTATTATTACTTTTATTATTATTTTATTTTATTATTACTTTTTTATTTATTATTATATTATTGTACGTCGCTTTGGATAAAAGCGTCTGCTAAATGTCTAAATGTAATGTAAATGTATTATTATTATTATTACCTTTCATGAAGCTCAAAATAACAACAGTTGCATAGATACTCAAATTTCTTAAATTAGGTGCTTTTACTAGTTAGCAAGTTGACTGGTAAAAGTTGACCTGTGAAATACTTTCTATTTAGGTAAAAAGTCATTTACACGTTTGAGGTATTCGGCCAATCACAGCACACCTCGCTTTTTCAGACCGATGAGCTTTGTAAAAATCGACGCGTTTCAGAAGGTGGGGCACAGAGGAGAAACAATAATGTACAGTATGTGGAAAATAATGTGTTTTTTGAACCTTAAACCGCATAAACACATTTCATTAAACCAAATACACAAAATACTGTTCTTTTTAGCAGCATCATATGACCCCTTTAAGCAATAATGCTTTTATAGTGAGAGTTTTCAGAACATTTTACTTCTCACAATATCATTGTTATGAGTCACTGTTATGAATAAGGTCATTTATGCAGTTATCAAATGCATGAATGTCTTTTTTTCTTCTAATTCCTCCTCTGCTTCACTAATGTGTTCCCAACTCTTCATCTAGTCTCTCTTGAATCTGTTGAATTCCATGTTTGACTGAACATGCTGCAGTGCCTGACCATCTTTGAAACACATTTGCTCTCATACGCTCCTCCCCCTCATTGCTTTCCCTGCTTTAACTACAAGCGAGTTGCTTGGACATTCCAGCAATGACTAATATTTTTCTGGCGCGGAGAAGTGAAGCCCAATGGAAAAGAAATAGTGGTGCCACCATTTTAAGAAAACTTGTTATGCAGCTTCTTTCAGCCTAATAAGTATACTGTATGTATACAATACACCTTAATTGCCACAACCCTTTCTGGGTTTCAAGTAGATGTCAAACGTAGGCTATATATGGACACTGTCTGTACAGATGTCATTAACACTAGTGACAATAACAGGTGTGAGTTACTGTGCATGTTACAGTCCTGCTGAGGAGTCTAATTAAGCACTCATAGTCTATGAACTTTCCCATCCTGTCCAATTAACCATTTAAACAGTGGGTGGGCTGTAACAGACCTCAGGAGTTTATTACACTGAAGAAAACAAACATGCTTGCACATCAATTATCATTACTGAGTTTCTATTTACACATGCTCAAAACCGTGCATGGCTCCTGGACACCTTTACTACAGGCTGATTTATGGTTAGGTTTTAGGAAAAGGGACAATTAAGGTCCCAATATGGCATCCTTTTGTGATTTTAATAAATACAATCATACACACTGGCCTACAATACTCTGAGGTGCAAATAATATAGTACTCTATACCATAAATAGCATCTAACATTATTTAAACTCATGCTATTTGCATTGTAGCATCTGCTCATTCATTATAAAGTGCCAAGTGAGTTTATGTGTGCATGTGTGAGCCTCAGTTTCCATGTTTTCATCAACATACTGTAATAGTGCTACTTGCAGTTTACTGACAACAGAACATTACTGTAAACTGCACAGAAATATCCCGTAGCCAACAACAACTGATGCTTTTAATCAGTGTGGGATCCCTCTTTAGCTCTGGAACATACAGCCAGTTAAAAAAACACAATTTTTAATAATTAAAAGCTTGAAAGCATATGCATTTTACTCTTTTTTTTTACAGTGTTCCTATTGGTAGTAATTTTAGATTGGAAGAACATTTAGATTGAATTAGACTGAAACACACACACTGGTAGACACATAAATGCGTGTTTTAGGGAACATGCCATAGGGTTTGTGCGCTTTCAAGCTCCACATTCTGTAGAGGACTAAGTGGTGGATTCTGGCTTCAGACATGTCTGGTCCTGTGGCCAGAGCTGCACTGAGGAAGGCAGGATCTGAAATTAGATCTCCTATAGACTGGTCTTGGTCTTCGTGAGCCGAAATAAAGGTCTACAGCAAAATTGTCTCTCTAAAGAGTTTGAACATTGAAGAAAAAAGCCTGAGGCTAGCCAGTTAGTCATCAATGTATGGGTAAATGACAAATAAGAATGATAAAAAAGAGAAATCCTTACTTTAAAAAATCTATTCTAACATAATGTACAAACATATTAGACAAAAACTGACTTTTCATAAAAATGTCAAAAGTCATTTTTAAGTCATGAGGGTCTAAAGGGGTCGTCACTGTTTTTCTTGTCACATGACAACAAAATGGCTTCCTGCATGTCAGTTATGCCACACTGACTTTTTCACACTGACTTGCAAGAGAAATGTTTATCTTATTATTTGTAATATTTTAACAAATTGCTCGACTGCTTATTTTCTTAATAAATAATAACTAAACAATAAATCAATCCCAAATGTCAAACAATGTAATATTTCTTACTTTTTCTCTCTATTTTTCCAACAATTTCAGTATTTTATTTATTATTGTCCTATTATAACGGTTTTTAACTTTCTTACTTTTTTTAAATGTCTGGACAGTTACAGGACCCAGATTTATATTAATCCCCACAAAATTATCATGACTTAAAAACATTCATCACTGAAGAATAGTCATTTTTGTCTGATTTCCATGAATGTGATTCTAAATAACGTAATAGATCCAGGGGGAAGAGATCGTCACGTCTTTAACCCATATAACAGTACACTGTATGGTTTAGTAGATAGCATTACTTTAGACAGTCAAAATTAATCGCAGACTCTGTCAGTCTGCATAGTGTACCCATAAAAAGAAAAAAATGTGAGGATTTCAGTGTGGTATCTGTATGGCTAAGGAAATAAATTGAATGCATAATAAAAGACAAAAAGATGCCACAGTTCCGTTCAAACACATGCGCGTATTGGCGACCTGATCATACAGTGATGCGCGTTTTTACATTTCAAATCGAAGTGCCAAAGACTGATTTGTTACGCCAGCATATAGCGAGTATTCTTCAGTTAGATATACTGTATCTCCCGTGAATCCGGGGTCCGAAGCGCATTGTGAAGATGCGTCAAATGCGCAAAACATGCCATAAGTATCCGCTGGACGCGCTCGGACCCATCCTATCCACATGAGCTATATAAGCGCCATTGGAAGCCTGAGAAAAACGGTAAGCTTTTCTCTTATAAAGCTCGACCATGTCCACGTCCTCAAAAGAATGGATCTAATTAAAACGTTGTACTCGTCATCATTGTCAGAGCATTGCCAAAGTCTGAGAGCGAGGCAGGGATGAGGGCAGTGCTAGGATGAGAGTCATATAGAGTCTCTCTCTCCCATTGGTTTGGGGGCTCAGTCTGGACACGCAGTCAAGGGAACCTCCTGCCATATAAATAGGGCTGGTTGGTCTTTATTATTCTAGCATCACGGCAGCAGGTTCCTGCTAAGTTTGGTGTTTATATCACAACTGTATGCCTGCTTGAAGTAGTTAAACCAGGGCACTGCAGCACAAGGAGTCTGCATGTCGGTTTAGACATGCTCAGCTTTGTGGATACCCGGATTCTGTTGCTGCTTGCAGTGACTTCGTACCTAGCATCATGTCAATGTAAGTTTGAAATATGCTTTTTTTGTCTAACCAAGGATCTTAAGGCTTTTTCTTTCATCTACTGGATTTGCTGCGTTTGCTTGGTTGAACCTTGCTGGGAAATTACCTCAAGGAAAGCTAGAACTACATCTGAAGAATTGAGGCGTTTCCTTTTGGCTTGCCAATGTAAAATCCAGCGGATCTTTTTAATGGATTCTTCGTGGTCTTGGATATTTTCATCTGTTGCGACTGAGAAACGGAAACATATGGCATAGTTATTAAAAACTATTAGCAAAAAAGTACAACAAATATAGACAAATTACGGAGAGCTGGTTAAATGTCTTTAAAAGTAGATTTTTAAAGTCTAGGTTAGGGCGCTGTACCTCATCATTGTCCCAGACTCCAGGAGTGTTTTTTTAATTGTGGGGGTCTGTAAAATCTGCCCCCTGCTGGCTAAAGTATGTAACATAATTTTTAAGCAACATCCTATAAAATTGTTAATCATCTGATTTAAATGAACTGTTTTAAGTATAAATAATAAAGTTACTATAAATAATACCTAAATGTAAAACAAAAAACGTATTCCCTATCATAGGCCTATCATAAGCCAATCATAAATTAGATTTTATGCCTCTAAAACATAAATGCGTTTTAGAACAAACTGATTTGATAAAACAGACTTTCCTTTAATTTTATTAGCTGATTTTAGAAAACAGAAAATTGGCATTTAATGTGGCATTAGGTCATCACCCAGTAGTCAAATACGCCACCTGGTGGAGAATAAGTGACATGACACGTAGCTGCTCCTACTGGATGAAAACTATTTAGTTCGAGTGGGAGTCATACCTGGCATGGCAACCGGAAGGCCTAAACATGTAAACAATTACTGATGACCTCTACAGGGTTAGTAGTATCTGATAACCACTGCCTGTGACTCACTTGCTATAATAAATCAATAAATAAATTCAGCCTAGGACAGTACTATATTATATATACTATGCAACAGTATATATTTAAAACTGTATATAATCAAAAGATTGCATATTTGTTCATCCACTTGTAAGAAATTATATTTTGAGAAAAAAACATTACTACGATTTTTCACACTTTAATTAGACTCAATAAAGTAATTCAAACAAATAAAAAGTTTTAGTAAATTTAATAAATTAAGTACATAGATAAGTATATTAATTAGGATTTCGAGATAATACTTTTAGCCAATGCACTATACTACAGTTTTGTACATCATCTATTCTTACAGATGCTCAATCATAAAATCAAATTTAACCCCGTTATTAATCTAGGCACACTTTATTGTTTTACAGCAAGACATGGATGTAAATGCACAAAATTTAATCCAGGCCTACTAAAATCTGATCTTCTTATTTTGGCAACAATGCAAAAAAAATAAAAAAAACTAAGACAATGCCTGTGCATAATTTTTCTTTTTAACTCATTAATTTTTGCATGTAAGGGGACTGTATTTAGCATAAACTTTGACATTTTTTTCTGTTCAGATTCTTCAGAAATGTTTTAGACTGAGTGAATAGTAGCCTAGAATAATAAATAGTAGACTTTGTATGTTTTTTGTTAGAACTGTTACCATATTTCAACATTTGGAGTGCATAACTAATCGATCACCTCTGTCTCTCTCCCCTTCTCTCTCTTTCTGTTTTCTTCCTCCACCCCCATCTTCATCATACAGCGGTCAGTACACTCGCATGAAGTTATTTCAATTGTATTAATAGAGATATTTACCTTATCTGATCCCAAATCTCCAAATGGATGATGATATTCGGTGAGAAGATCCTTTGGTCAATCTCAAATATTCCAGAGCATTTCGGATTATCAGAATTTCTGGGGTTTTTCCTTCTTGCCTGTGATGGGAAGGAGGAAAGCACCATTGGCTCAAGCAAATGTCAGTGAAACTAGAGACCACCCTATCCTGCCTACCAGACAACCTGGGCACAATGGATCTTTTTAGATGGCCTGCTGAAGAGGTGGACTCAAAGTAACAAAGTCAACATGCCGCAGAAATTCCTCTAGCCTGGTGGATTTTGCCCAGCAGTTCCCTCAAGTGGACATGCATAGCATAGATTATTAAAATTGGCATAAATATTGAATGTTATTTGGGATTGAATCAAATTGCTCACCTGAATATCACATAACAGTATTAATCACTAACAACAGAAGGTGCTTAAAGGAACGTAATGAGAAACATTTCGGTCAGTGGGACAGGTTCAATGTCCTGTTCTTGTGATGTAAACTAGGCCTCTGAGCTCCTTAAAGTACCTTGGTTGAATGTGGCATCACATGACTGGTGCATTGCTACCTTCATTAATATCTAATTAAGTTGCAGGCATGACGTTAGTGGTAGTTACTGATACATGCTGCACTGTGCATGTTATAATTGTTTTGCAAGATTAATTTGCATGTTTGTAATTTTAAGAATACAATAAATGCTTTTGATATGAGCTATTGCACATCAAATGACATAAGAATCTTAGAAAGGTGGAATAAATAAATCCTGTATTTATTTATTCACTTTTCTATGTGCAATTATATGAAGATAAAAGTTTTGGTTCTAATGCATTGGTTCTAATGTTCATGTTTATGACTGTGGCATAGCATATGTAAATGTGACTTAAATCTGAAAAACATCCATTTTTTGTTTTGCTATAACCCTGAGCATGCATATAAAAAAGCAAGTGGTCTTCATATGAAGGAGTATTAATATACTGTTGGACTTTAAAACAGTTGTCTGGTTATACTTTTCTGTAAATAGGGCCCCAGGGGACCAAAAGGACCCAGAGGTGAGAGGGTAAGTTTATCCCGTAACTTTTCAGCATTATAGTCATATTTAATATAGGCCAAAGAGATTATTATAAGGTGTTTAACTTAACCATCATCTATAATAACATGGATAGGAAAAAGCTATTCTGTATATTTTTGGTATCAGTTTCAGGTTCACTAGCTTAGCATGGTGGCTAGTTTACATCAACACAGCAGATTCATCTCACGTTTTAAAACATTAGAACAATCACAGCTAGCTTAATTGTGTTATTTGTTCTTGTTTTCCACAGGGTCCTAAAGGACCAGATGGAAAACCCGGCAGACCTGGACTTACTGGGCCTCCCGGCCCCCCTGGCCCCCCTGGTCTTGGTGGAGTAAGTTTCACACAGAAAAACTTTTCCAGAGACCTAAACTTGTTTATTACATAGCGATTCAGTAATTAAAGCTTGTGGGTAGTTATATTTGAATCTCACGATCCTCCCATTACCCCTTGACCCAGTCATATTTAACATTTGACCTTTAACCTTTGCCCTGAACCTTGGCCTCAAAATGGCTTCCAAAAGTGTGAGCTGTATTTATTTTCAATACAAGTCTAGAAACAGTGTCATAATTTTAGTATGAAAGAAGAAACATTTAGAGAATGTTTTGTGTCAATAAAATGCTCAAATAACTTAAGCTTTCCATTTCTTTCTGAATGTTTTTAATGATATTGGAATATAAATTAATATTCAAATATTGTATTATTGAAATAAAATAAATCAATAATTACTGAAATAAAACAATTTATTATCATTGCTCAATATGTTTTATTTATTTATGCTAAATATGTTGCTTCATTTCTTCTGTAGAACTTTGCTGCTCAATTTGATGGCGCTAAAGGACTTGACCCTGGCCCTGGCCCTATGGTGAGTTCATGTGATTTAATATCAGCTTCTTTTCTGTTCACTTTCATTTCAGTTGATGTGAATCCTTTCTGCTATTAAATATATTAATATCACATTTATATTAAGAGTATATTAAAAACTTGAACAGTTTACTACTCAAGTATGATGACATCCAAAACTGATTTTTCTTGCCAAAATGTGTTACTATTAATGTTGCAATGTCGTGCAAATGAAATACTGGACCTTTTATTTTATTTAATCATAATATGTAAACTACTGCTGATCATATTGAGTCCTCAGGCCACTCATTTTTACTTTCACTTTTTCAGGGTTTGATGGGACCTAGAGGCCCATCTGGACCTCCCGGTGCCCCTGTGAGTATTTGTTTAAAAATGGATTGAAGTATTGATACCTTTTCAATAAAAGTTGTAAATACAAATGTTTAGAATTAGTGATTTAGAATAAGTTATTATTTTGATAATCAATCATTTAATTAAATATTATTCTGAGTGTTTATGGCTCTAAAAAATAAATGTAACATTTACTCCTTTTTCTGTGAATATATAGGGACCTCAAGGATTCCAAGGACATGCTGGTGAGCCTGGAGAGCCCGGACAGGCTGTAAGTACTCTTGGTCAACACAGGTTTTTCACACAGTTTGGAAATGACCTTTAAACTTTAATGTTGATTTCTCTCTCTATCATCTCATTACAGGGAGCTGTTGGGTCTCGTGGACCTCCTGGACCTTCTGGCAAAAATGGTGAAGATGTGAGTGCTATAATACCATATACTAAAACTGAGCTTCTAACTCGACCATGCATTGCCCCATTTATTCACGCTGTGTCTTGACATCCTCTTTTATATTCTTCTCAAAGGGTAACAATGGCAGACCTGGAAAACCTGGAGACAGAGGAGGCCCTGGAGCACAGGTAAGGGCATCAAAATGCACATTTTTGTTTAAATCAAGCATGTTTGTATTTACCTCAGTAATATTTCTTACAAGGAACTTCGTCTTTGCTCTTTCTTCTACAGGGTGCCCGTGGTTTCCCCGGAACTCCTGGACTTCCTGGCATGAAGGGACACAGAGTAAGTGCTTAGTATTGAGGACTGATGAGAAGCCATTGTTGGGGAGGCACAGTGGCTCGGTGGTTAGCACTGTTGTCTCACAGCAAGAAGGTCCCCAGTTCGAGCCCTGGCAAAGACAGGAGGCCTTTCTGTGTGTAGTTTGCATGTTCTCCCTGTGTCTGCGTGGGTTTACGCCGGGTGCTCTGGTTTCCTCCCACAGCCCAGAGACATGCAGGTTAGGTTAACTGAACATTCTAAATTGTCCCCGGATGTGTATGGATTGACTTGTGCATGGATTAACTGGTCCTCACCATGAATATAGCCACAGATGCTGGATTGGCGTTAAGAAACAAAAGACATTGTTAGCTTTTAGCTATTAATTCCAAAAAACAACATTTCTCATAGAAGATGAGATTTAACATGTCGTTTCAATTGCTTACATCTAAGTAACCATGATCTTAATTTCTTGTTCCTCAGGGTTACACCGGTCTTGATGGACGCAAAGGAGAGCCTGGTGCCGCTGGTTTTAAGGTAGTAATCAAAGGTTTAACATCCTAAAACATCTCAGACTATAAAGAAATGCACCTGACACTTTAAAAAATACATATAACAACATAGTTTAGTGTAATCGAAGTGCAATTCAAAAGACCAACTTTCATGTATGCATGAAAGAAACTGCACTTGCTGATGCTTTACATCAAAATTCTGACTTGTGAAGTTGCATTATGTGTATTAAGGTGCTATACAAACAAAACACATTATTATTACTATTATTACTGATATTATTACTCATAAAGTACAGCACACTTACCACATTTTATAGTGTATTACATGAATCAAGTCAAATATATCTTGTCATATTTTAAAGGCTTATGTTTGTCTTTTTTCAACAGGGTGAGAATGGTGCTGCTGGATCAAATGGAACCCCCGGACAGAGAGTAAGTCAAACATTAAAATTTATGAAAATCTTCAGTGTATATCTCAATTCTGCCTCCAGCACAAATGACTGAATTACTAGCCTTGAATACATACCTACTTCAACTCTTTTTATTGAGTACATATCTCATTCCTCTTTTTGCACAGGGTGGTCGTGGTCTTCCTGGTGAGAGAGGTCGTGTTGGCCCTTCTGGCCCAGCTGGTGCTCGCGGTGCTGATGGCAACACTGGTCCTGCTGGCCCTGCTGTGAGTGGACTAGCTGCCCTTTGACTTCTCTGTCTCATAAAATGTGCCTTATGGCATAGTCCTAATGTAGACATAACACATTTTCTCTCCTCTTAGGGTCCTTTGGGAGCAGCTGGTCCTCCCGGTTTCCCTGGTGCTCCTGGACCTAAGGTATGAGTGACAGGTGGAGAAATCAAAACTGAATAAATTCAACTAAATTTGACATCTGCCTGGCACCTCTGCATAAAACAGTGTGCCAGAAGATTAATAGACATGCTAATATAAGCCAATTCTGCCAGTACATATCATTTGATTAGATCTCATTCTCTACACATACAATACCTTTCCTTAATTCATCATAACAACCTTCTCTCTTTTACCATCAGAACTTTACTGTGTCTATATTTGACAGGGAGAAATTGGATCCGTTGGTCCCACTGGCCCATCTGGACCTCAGGGACAAAGAGGAGAGCCAGGCCAGAACGGTGCTGTGGGCCCAGTCGGACCCCCTGTAAGTGCATTTTAAATATTTGCAGATAAATTCATCTGATTTTCTTGAAGAAAAAAAATATATCTCTCTTTGTACTTTTACAGGGTAACCCTGGTGCTAATGGTATCAACGGTGCTAAGGGAGCAGCTGTGAGTTTTAATATTATTCATACTAAATAATTGAACTAAATATGTTGTGCTAATCATTTTAAAGTACAATTGCATTGGAATTAGAGGAAATAATTGCCTAACAGTTGTGAAACAAATCATGTCAGAAGTATTTTTGCTGTATTTTGAATACTTTTTTATATATATTTATTTTGGATTTTGATATATTTATTCTTTTTATTTTAACTTTTTTTCTTTTCTTTTTTTCATTTTTAAACAGCAATTACTATACATTGCAATCACAAATCACAATCAACTAGCTGAGGTGTCAAAATTCATTTTAAAACAGATCACTTTACAATTACTCTACCATCTTAACTGACTTACTGAAAGCTGTATGCTTTACCTTAAAGTAACATTTCTATGAATTCAATGTTTGTGTGAAAGCATATGTTCTTAGTTTTTTTTTTTTTTTTCAAATGTATTTTTTGGTGTATTCCACAGGGCACCCCTGGTGTTGCTGGTGCCCCTGGTTTCCCTGGCCCTAGAGGTGGCCCTGGCCCCCAGGGACCTTCTGGAGCCTCTGGTCCAAGAGGTCTTGCTGTGAGTACCATCTGATTGGTCTTAGCTGCCATTTTGGGGTTTTTGGCTGAAAGAAAAAATGGGCTGGAAAGTTTTATAGAAACCGTTACTTTAACAGATTCATTATCAGAAAGGCTGACATCAGAAAATCAGCTTTGAGTGAAGTAATCCAGGTTTAATTAGATGTCATTTAAACGAACACCACACTTAAGACAATGAGTGCAATTGCACAACAGTCATGATATGGGAGTATTTTTCAGTCAAATTTAAATGACATATATCAATATATCAATGGTAATTCCATAAGTTTTAGTTCTATACAGTCGTTTTAGTTAAACAATATCTTAAAAAATATTTTGAGTCTAGATTTTAATCAGAAGTAGGCTAACACCAGCTGAGGGAGAAACTTTCATTATGTATTTTACAGAAAAAGGAAGTATGCTATTCTATTACATTCTATTATGTTATTTTATTAAATTATTCCAAGCAAAACATAATTTTATATTTTCTGTTTTATTTTTCATTTTGGTGCATGACTCTATTTATGTGCATATTCTTTTTTTATTCTTACATTTTTAATAGGGAATTTCAGATATGTACATGTTATAAAATGGTCTAACCTTTGAACTGTTTCAATGCTCAGGGTGACCCTGGACCCGTTGGAGTGAAGGGAGATGCTGGTGTCAAGGGTGAGCCTGTGAGTATACACACTGTCTGCCAGTCATCTTAACAATTTATAAAGCATATAGTCTGTGCTATAGCTGAATGTCCTTGTTTACTTCCTTCTTTGTCTTTTTCCTGTAAAGGGTAGTGCTGGTCCTCAGGGACCCAGTGGTCCTTTTGGTGAAGAGGGCAAGAGAGGCTCAACTGGTGAGCAGGGAGCAACTGGACCCGCTGGACTGCGTGGACCTAGAGTAAGTTTGATCTTAATAATAAAATGTTAATTTTATTATGTTAGGGACATCTCCATTTGAATTGTAAGTGTCAGAGAGAGAATGGAAACTTGATTTATAAGAGTACTACAGGGACAAAAATAAAACAATACAAATGTATGATCACCACATTTAGTTGGTTAGTGGGCCAAGGATTTAAAAGAAAAAATACAACAGTACAGAATATTGAAAAAAGTAAAACTCCAGTAGACTATGTGAGAGGTCTTCCTGTAAGAATAATGCTAAATATTTATAAAGCTTGATACAATGGTTAATTTTCTGCATGAAATATATGTATTTGGTTATGTTTTTTATTATTTATTTTCGTTAATCTATGTATATTCATGTTTCTTGCAGGGAGCTGCTGGTACTCGTGGTCTGCCTGGTCTGGCTGGCAGATCGGGCCCAATGGTAAGATTCGAGTGATATTAAAAGAACTGTTCTGTATTTAAACAAGCTATGGAGTGTATATAGAATGTGACAGTGGTTTAGCTGCTTTGGATAAAAAAATATGTATACATATACAATATATGATAGTTTTCCTGCCAAATCCATGCAATTTTACATTGTTCTGATGCTTTATTTAAGACTCTGATCTATGAATCTTGTACCGTAGGGCATGCCTGGTGCCCGTGGTGCTACTGGTTCCTCTGGAGCCCGTGGACCTCCTGGAGATGCCGGTCGTGCTGGTGAGCCTGGTCTTGTTGGAGCTAGAGTGAGTATCAGCCTCTTACTACTTTATATCTGTCCAGTCCATTATGACAGAATCACAAAGCAAGAAACGTGAAATTTCTCCTATTTTACAAGTATGCATTGAGATCAATCATTCTTGACATGTGACCATATGAACAAGACCATCACTTTATATCTTTTCAGGGTCTCCCTGGTAGCCCCGGCAGTTCTGGACCCCCTGGAAAGGAAGGGCCTTCTGTGAGTACAATCACCGTTTTTATATTCATACTATACACATAGTTGGAGGTACCCAGAAAAGTATTACTAATCCATGAGCATTGTGCTTTGTGCACACCCATCACCACTTTATATGCTGTTCTCTAGGGTCTTGCTGGTCAAGATGGCCGCACTGGCCCCCCTGGCCCAACTGGACCCAGAGGCCAGCCCGGTAATATTGGATTCCCCGGTCCCAAGGGACCTTCTGTAAGTACTGACTGTATTTTTCACATTTCATCTTTAGATATTCTAAATATAATAACGTATCAATGAGCTTATCAATGAACCTTCTTGTAGGGCGAGTCTGGCAAGCCTGGTGAGAAGGGACCTACTGGCCCCAGTGGACTGAGAGTGAGTATTTCAGAGACAGAAATATCTGTTATAAACATTCATCAGTAGAAGCGAGTTATTAGTTATTGAGCTGCTCTGATTGCGTTCCTCTTTTCCTTTAGGGTCTTCCTGGTCCAGATGGTAACAATGGCCCTTCTGGTCCCGTCGGACTTGCTGTAAGTAAGCCATCTGATATTTTCTAAAAAGACTATCTATGTGGATTAGTACATGACCTTTCACTGTTTCTCAGTGGTAACAGATTGTTGTCTTCTAATTTAGGGTGCTCCAGGTGAGAAGGGAGAGCAGGGAGCATCTGGTGCTCCTGGTTTCCAGGTCAGTGTCATACATTTACAAGCCTTCTTTCAAGATTATACAGTCTTCATTCAAGCTTGAAGTGTGAAGTTAAATATAAGAAGGGCTTCCCGACCGTCTTGGAACCCCATAAGTAGGGCTCAAGTACCAAATGTGGCCACAAATTCTTTCCTTTAATCAATACATTGGGTGAAAATGGGCTAATCAAGTAGCTCAAGATTATTTGCCTTTCAAAAGCTTTGACAGTTCGGGGGCAGTTGTATTGTGAAGAAATCCAGACAAAATAGTAAAATCACAAGGTACTCCCTGGTTGTATCCATGGTTGGGAATCACTGTCATAGGCAAATAGAATAAGATAAATTTGTACTAGTCTTGTATGAATTCTTCCTGTTTATGTAGTGTTTGAATATTAAAAACTTGTGTTTCCTGCTCAATCCTAACAGGGTCTTCCTGGCCCCGCTGGACCTGTTGGTGAGGCCGGCAAGCCCGGAGATAGAGTAAGTTTTCATGGCTCAGATGTTATGCAGCTTATGCAGTTTTTGGTTCACTTGCATAATACTGGATGCATAATGTCATGCAGATCATTACAAATATTTCTTATCTCTCAACAGGGTATCCCTGGAGATCAAGGTGTATCAGGACCTGCTGGTGTGAAGGTGACTTACCTTTCTCTGATTTCTTGTGCTGTGTTTATTCTCACATGAGAAGAAATGAGCCTATCTTACGGTTCTTCTGTCCTTTTATTACTATTTAGGGAGAGCGTGGTAACCCTGGACCCGCTGGTGCTGCTGGCGCTCAGGGACCCATTGGTGCTCGTGGACCTGCTGGTACTCCTGGCCCTGATGGAAACAAGGTATGTACACATGTCACTGCACATGTCATCTAGACAGATGATTTTTATGAGTGTAACTGACTAAATCTGTACTCTTCAGGGAGAGCCTGGTGCAGTTGGAGCTGCTGGTGCCCCTGGACACCAGGGAGCTGGTGGTATGCCCGGTGAGCGTGGTGGCGCTGGAACTCCTGGACCTAAAGGAGAGAAGGTATGTTTTGGAGCAATGCTCTTCTCACTGTATAGTGAATATGTTGCCAAATCTGTATGTCACTTACAGCTGACTAAAACATTTCTCTTATACACAGGGTGAGCAAGGATACAGAGGCCTGGAGGGCAATGTTGGAAGAGATGGTGCCCGTGTAAGTGTACCCAGTACCTTTATCTCATTTCATACAAAATTACACAAATGTTTTGTAGCCGTGATTTTATGGTACTTCTTCCTCAATTTACAGGGTGCTCCTGGACCCAGTGGACCCCCTGGACCCGCTGGTGCTAATGGTGACAAGGTAAAGAGCATTCTCTCAACTGCTATGTCAGATCAATGCAAAGAATTGTTGCTATCACTCTAAATCATTTAAATATTTACACCAGTCCAAAGGGTTTTTCTTTTTATTCCTTATGGATCTTGCGTGATGAATCACACATTGTAATCATAATGTCAAAAGTGACATCATAAAAGAGGATTAGAAATGATTGAAAACAAGATCACACTGGCATTCATTTAATGGAACACCTCTAACAGAATGTATTAAGATTCTTACCTTCTCAAAGGGTGAGTAAATTGCGTCCTTGGTCCATTGCTTGAAGAAGAAACCCTGATGACAACTGTCAGAATCACTGCTGCCCTCTGCTGGAAAATTAAAACAATATTCCGTTATTCAAAAATGCTAGGGTCAAGTTAAAGCCATCACATGATTTGATTCCTTTTCAGTATTTTTATTTTTTATTTGATTATCATCTACAGTAAATATTTATAAACAACAATCAAACATTGCTACATTCATTTAAATTTGGTTCAAATCATATTTTTAAACCTTCAGTGACAGACACATTTTCATTTCTAAAAAAATTTACTATTCTGTTCTACAACTCTTTCACATGAGGGAACAACTTTTTTTTTTGCAATGTCACTTCAGTGTAAATACAGTAGGTTGGAATTTATTAAATTTTCTAAAACAATTTAATTCAACATACGCTGTAAGTGAGTTTTATTTACCCATGACTTATAAAATGATTAAATCATTGTCTTCTAATCTAAATCATTAAATTGCACTATATAAAGCATTGCCCATGTTCAATCAATCCTAAATGTGGTGACTTTGAACAGTGAAAACAACTGAAATGCTAATGCATTGATTTAAAACAGGAAATCCAATGTTCTTCTAATTTTTTATGACAAAATATATTACATTTGAAATACAAATTTAAAAATGCTAAATACAAACTTCAGCATGCTAAGGTAAGATGTTTAAGGAATGTCATACAAGGAAAGGTGTTTAAATGGGCCACATTTAACTTGAACAGTGTGAATGTGTCCGAACTGTCCTGAGGGATCTCCAAAATTATTTACAGGTGCTTCCTTCAGACTTTTTGCAGCCAAAAAGAAAGTGATAACCTACAAATAATTAACTTGGAAGACTGGCAAAAGCACTTACTTCAGGTAGCTGTAAAGATCATTCTGATCAAACCTATCTCTGTGTTCTCTTCCAGGGTGAGACTGGCTCTTTCGGCCCTGCTGGACTTGCTGGTCCTCGTGGTGCTCCTGTGAGTATTATAATCAGTTCTTTACTACACACTGATACAATAATTATTTCATTATTTAAGGATTGCCCGATATTAAGGAACTAAAAAAAGAACTGCACAAACTATAATTCACTTCAGAAACCAGCATTCATACTCAAATCTTGACATGTATTTCAGGGCGAACGTGGTGAGTCTGGCCCTGCTGGACCTTCTGGATTTGCTGGACCCCCTGTAAGTCCATGTGAATTCTCCTGAAGTCAGCTTCTTTGTGATTCATATATTCAATTTTAGACTTCCAAATCGGCTGTTTTAAAAAACTTTGAACACATATGCACTAAAAACTGACAGGGACACAATGTGTCTTGTAGGGTGCTGATGGCCAGACTGGACCAAGAGGTGAGAAAGGACCTGCTGGTGGAAAGGGTGATGTTGGACCCCACGGCCCTGCTGGTCCTGCTGGCAATACTGGACCCCTCGTAAGTTTGAGACTACATTTAATAAAAACTCATTTATTGTTGAAGAAACATATCTTAATGAGAAATTACTTATCAAAAGTATTGTAGTTTTGACATTCACCTCATGTCTCAGTCAAGGATATATTGGATAACACATCCAATGTATCTTTATGATTTTGAACTTTTTACAATTTCTTGTGCATCTTTAGGGTCCTACTGGTCCTGCTGGCCCACCTGGTGCCCGTGGTGACTCCGGTCCATCTGTAAGTATGATTTTATGGATTTATATATTCATTTATTTTGCTTGTTTAGTTGTGTGACATTTCCTACGTGACTCATGAATTTCTGGCTATATTCTAGGGTCTGACTGGTTTCCCTGGTGCTGCTGGCAGAGTTGGACCTCCTGGTCCTGCTGTGAGTAATATTAGATAACTTTAAATGGAGTTGTCCGGACCTAATGCTTCATGCTAGCACATTTCAGGATATATCTTTATAGTCTCACATATAATCTGATTTTCTTCCCACCAATTAGGGTATTGTTGGACCTGCTGGTCCCACTGGTGCTCCTGGAAAGGATGGCCCACGTGGTTCTCGTGGTGATGTTGGCCCTGCTGGTCCCCCAGGAGAGAATGGACTGATTGGACCATCTGGTCTGGCTGGAGAGAAGGGATCTCCTGGAGAGGCTGGCGTACCTGTAAATACTAGCCGAACACGTCAAATCATGTTAATAGCAAAGTATTACGTAGTATATATTACGTCTCGATAAACTTTTTTTTTTTTTTTAATCAGGGAGCACCTGGACCTGCTGGGCCTCAGGGTCAGCTGGGATCTCTGGGATTCAATGGTCTTCCTGGCTCCAGAGGTGACCGTGGTCTTCCTGGTGGCCCCGGTGCTGTTGTAAGTGCACTGACCCCCTGATTGTGTCCAAACTGGTCAAAGTTAACTTGCTACAGGGTAAATCTTAATCAGTTTTTTTGTGTGTTCTTTAGGGTGAGTCTGGAAGAGTTGGCCCTGCTGGTGCCCCTGGTCCCCGTGGGCCCCTTGGCAACATTGGCATGCCTGGTATGACTGGTCCTCAGGGAGAGGCTGGACGTGAGGTGAGTATCAATTGTACTTCATTTTAAGACACACAATTTGTATTTTTGTTTTTTCATACAATATTCACATAGGCCTCTGTGTTTTCTAGGGAAGCTCTGGTAATGATGGACCTCCTGGACGTCCTGGTGCTTCTGGCCTTAAGGTATATAGCCCTGATATGACTTCTGACTAAGCATTTCTTTATATTTGACCATCACTAACTTTATCCTAAGACTGTAGTGTTGTAATAAATCCTAAAGTTTCAATTACCAAACCAGATTGTGTTACATATAAATGAAAAAAGTAACTGAAATTGACTATTTCAACTACCAGGGAGACCGTGGTGAGCCTGGTTCCCCTGGACCCGCTGGATCTGTCGGTGCTCCTGGACCCAATGGACCATCAGGCGCTGCTGGCAGACCCGGAAACCGTGGTGAATCTGTACGTGTTACTGAACTAAGCCACAGCATTTACTAAATTATGGATAGAAATTAACTAGACTACCACACATGTAATCAATCCATTCTCTCATTTCCACTCCCTTTAGGGACCTTCTGGATCTGCTGGCCCTGTTGGATCTGCTGGAGCAAGAGGTGCACCTGTAAGTGTGTCAGACATCATCTTTATTAAAGGCATTTTAATTGAAGGACCCAGTCAATGGCTTCTATGGATATTTCTTACTTTCCTTAAATAAACAGGGCCCTTCTGGACCTCGTGGTGAGAAAGGTGTTGCTGGAGACAAAGGAGAAAGGGGCATGAAGGGACTTCGTGGACATCCTGGTCTGCAGGGAATGCCTGGAACCAATGTAAGTGGCACAACTTTAATAATAAACTTCAACGTCTTTTTCCTGTGAAAACAGTTTGAACAGTTTGTTTAGTTCTCATACAGATTAGTAAAATGATTCAGCATAAAAGATTGCAGAACAAGAACAAATGACACTGTGTTACAGGGTCCTTCTGGTGACAGCGGCCCTGCTGGTGTGGCTGGTCCTGCTGGTCCAAGAGTAAGTAACTTTCTCATTCTTAAGACTTTCTCACACAGGATTTTGTAATAAACGTGTGGAAATGTTCATAATGGTTGTCTGCATTTTGTCTTTAGGGCCCAGCTGGTCCTAATGGCCCCCCTGGTAAGGACGGCTCAAATGGCATGCCTGGTGCTATTGGACCCTCTGGACACCGTGGTCCTCCTGGGCATGTTGGACCTTCTGTAAGTAAACATACATTTGAGAATTACTCTTGACACAGATGGAAAGAAAACAGAAAATATATATTGTAAAATATAATATAGAAAAAACAGTATCTTACCTTGAGATGGAATGTAGAGAAGACACCCCAGTTGAACACAATGTGTGGTTAATATGTAATGTGTTTAACTCTAGGGTCCTCCTGGATCTCCTGGTCTTCCCGGACCCCCTGGTGCAGCTGGTGGTGGATATGACACATCTGGAGGCTATGATGAGTACAGAGCTGACCAGGCCTCTCTCAGGGCTAAGGATTATGAGGTGGATGCCACCATCAAGTCCTTGAACACTCAGATTGAGAATCTGCTTTCCCCTGAGGGCTCAAAGAAGAACCCTGCCCGTACTTGCCGTGACATCAGGCTCAGCCACCCTGAATGGAGCAGTGGTAAGTGACCAAAGCAGTTTGAGGTCTTTCGTCTTCCAATAGAGTTAACCCATCTTCCAATAGTTCTTACTTCCTATGACTTTCCCTAATGATCTGTATTGTTTTCTTCCCCTGTAGGTTTCTACTGGATCGACCCCAACCAGGGCTGCACCGTGGATGCCATCAAGGCCTACTGCGACTTCTCTACTGGCCAGACCTGCATCCACCCCCAGCCAGAGAGCATTCCACGCAAAAACTGGTACAGAAGCTCCCAGGAGAAGAAACACATTTGGTTCGGCGAGACCATCAATGGTGGTACTGAGGTAAGTTGAAGAATTTCACAAAAGTTGGAGACGTCAGAAAGGACCAAATTAAATACTGTACTGACTGTTCGAGATTTATCAAGAGAAAGCAGTCTGAAGGTTGTCTTCTTCCATTCCCTTTTCAGTTCGGTTACAATGATGAGACCCTGAGCCCACAGTCCATGGCTACTCAGCTGGCCTTCATGCGTTTGCTGGCCAACCAGGCAGTCCAGAACATCACCTACCACTGCAAGAACAGCATCGCCTACATGGATGCCGAGAATGGAAACCTGAAGAAGGCTGTGTTGCTGCAGGGCTCCAATGATGTGGAGCTCAGGGCGGAGGGCAACAGCCGCTTCACTTTCAGCGTCCTAGAAGATGGCTGCAGTGTAAGTTCTCTTTTTACACTTTGATTAAACAGACAAAATCTTCATCCAGTTAGCACGATATGCACAAAATAAGAGGTTAAGCGTTTACAGTCACAGAGGATCGTGTTCAACATGCATATGAGATAGACTCACAATTACATGAGTCTATACATGTTTACACCTTGGCATGTTTATGACAGTTTGATGTTTGTCAAAAAAATAAGTCACTTAACATGTTTTATCTTTTTGTTGCATCCCTGCAGAGACACACTGGCCAGTGGAGCAAGACAGTCATTGAATACAGAACAAATAAACCATCTCGCCTTCCCATCCTCGACATTGCACCTTTGGACATTGGTGGCGCAGATCAAGAGTTTGGTTTGGACATTGGCCCAGTCTGTTTCAAATAAATAGACTCATGATAAATTAAACGAGAGAAAGAAAGAAAAAAGAAAAATCTCTGCCCTTCTGTCTGTGTTTTTTATACTGAATGCTGATTTTTTTTCTGCAAATCCACTTGCTTAAGCTGGGCTCTATCGGAGAGGACTAATGGACTGAACGGAGCATTGCGCAATGCAAATTAATACAGCAGCCCAAAGAGACACGGGATAACACCATGTTATGGGACATGTCATCATTTTGTAAAAATAAAAGAAGTGTAATAAAAACAATGAAAGTATACATCACTTTGTGGTCTTTGTATATCTTCCAAAGAGGATGTTTAAAACCACAATTTCCGTAAGGTTTAAACTACCTCATGTGTAAAGGAAAATATTAATCAACATCCTAGTTGTCACTAGTTGGTACTAAGGCTTCAAGTTCTGTCCTGTTTCAAAGGTGCTCCAATACTCGAAGCAGTGATATTATATGGTGCTATACATGCAGCTGTGGAGGAAACCACTGTTACTGTATTACTTTGTATTGTTTCTGAGGAATATTGCACAGGTCCCCCTGATAACCCCATTTTTAAGCAGGTGGAATATTCCTAAACCTGATGTTTGTCTGGTTTTTACTTTTTGTTTTGTTTGTTTTTGTTTTCTCCGAGTTTTGTTCAGATTTTTTTGTTTTGTTTTGTTCAGGCATTACATTCTTTTACGCCCCCAGTGTTAATACTGACAGCACAGTTCGACCATTTTAAAGGGTTGCAGAGGCCTCTCTCTCAAAACAAACCACAAAGTTTATTGTACCTATTTTGTATATGTGAGATGTTTAAATAAATTGTGAAAAGTTCTGAAAATAAAGCATGTCCAATGTTCCGAAACACATTATTCCATGAGTTAAGTGCTTTAATGTTGGGAAAAAGATGTTTGACTTAAATGGCCATTTTGAATGTCTGCCTGATTTTTAATTCTTAAATTCACAAGCAAACAATTTCAATGTGTTTATTTTCAAAACATGAAATGGGTTTTCTATTTTATGCAAAGAATGGGTGTTTTGTTTCTTAGCAAATAATACTTTGAGTCTATTGCCTAATAGAGTTCATTTTTCTCTGTTTATAGTTATGACATGCTTTTCAGGTGGCAAAATCTTTCTCACTTTTGAATCAAATAAAAAGGCAGTCACTGCAACTTGGCATGTTTGTATTTGTAGAGAATCCAAACATGTATATTTTTACACAGAAACGATAGCATTAAATGCTACACATTGTGTGTGTGTGTCCAATCTTTCTGATGTTTAACCAACATCCCCACTGCTAACCAGGCAGCATAATTTATCACAGGGATCCACATTTAATATGGGTACCTTTACTATTAACTAAAATTGATTTGTTTTTAAATATCTCACTCTAAACTATTTGGAGGCAGGGGCGTCATGCACTCATTATT